TAAAAATAATTTGTCTAGATGATGAATCTTCAAATGATAGTGTATTGGAATGTAATTTCCATTCATTTAGTGTATTACGCCTACTTGCTGAGATAAAGAATGAAATTGGTACCGGTAAATGTGATCTGACTACCCAGGCTGGGACTTCTTATGCGAAATATTATACTCAAGAAAAAAATGAGGAATTGCTCAAATGGTGCAACTGGCCGTCTTTTATCTTATGCTTAGCTAGACCTTGGGTGTGTGTTTTAGAAGCGGTGTATGTTGAGAAACCCATTGTAGATCCCTTAACGGACCTCATACCTCTCATTCCTACAAACATTCGAGATCACGCAGAGCGAGTAGCATGACTATTCAAAGCTTTGTATTTGGGGTTAATAGGCTAAAGGAGTATTATAGATCGATAGCAAATCTACAAAATTCACAACAGTTTTTTCCTTATCTGAATCAATACAAACAACAAGATACAACTATAGAATTTACATATAAAAAAAAGCTTGTAGATCAGCCAGACAAGCTTTTTTGGAAAGCTATAACAAAGGGCAGGAGGAAACTTGTTGTTAAATTCACGTAGCATTATAATCAGAGAGCACACGAGTTGTGTAGCGAAATTGGAAAAGCACTAAAATTACTCTATATAAGCAAAAAGGTGGTGTATAGTTTTTATATGGTCGTGATAGATTATGTTAAGGCCAAGCCACTTTATAACTGCAATAATTCACTTAGTAATGATGAATGTAAAATGGTTTTCGAGAATATTGAAGAAGCTATCAGCAAATTGCATAAGAAAAATATCGTTTTTGCTGACCTCTGTGATTCCAACATCTTGGTTAACAAATCTCAAGATCAATATCAAGGAATGTTAATAGATTTCGATTGGGCTGGTGAGGAAGGAATTAAGTGCTATCCATTTTTCATGAATGAAGATATTAATTGGCCACCAGGAGCTGAGAATAGAAAGAAACTGAGTCAGGAATATGATATGCATTGGTTGAAGTTATTAAAATCTAATTACTTAGATAAAAGTGTAGAGCTCGAATGATTAGTTAACATAGTATTTGAGAATAAAGTAGAAAACAAACAACTATGCTAACAAGCTATGTATGTATTCAATATAATTTGTTTTTAATGATATAATAATAAACGAATCCTTGGATTAATCATATTCATACATTTTGAGAATAATGTGTGCTTATCTCTCTTGCTTTGGCCTACGGGGATTAAAATATCCATTACCTGTTCTGTTGATTATCATGAATTTCTGCTGAAAATTTCAGTGTTTTTGATTTATTACCAAGAGATCAATAAAATTTACATTAAGTTTTTAGCAACATGGTACGTAGTACTTGTGATAGAATTTGTTCATTTTTACTTTTATTCTGTATCAATAAAGCCGACTGGTGGCTCAGTTTCACATATATAATCATGTTTACTTTTGTATATATATTTCGTGAATTTATTTTATTATATTGTTATCTATGTATATTAACTTGCATATGATTGAGAATTTTTTGATAGAGCATGAAATTTTTTCACGCAGTCATGTGATTTTATTTATTTATTTTTGTTTACATAGCATGTATTTCGAAATTTTATTACACGAATATATATCTCTATGATAAAAGAATTGAATATATCTGTATTTTATATAAAAAAATAGCAAATACACAATCTAAAAATGATTTATTAAGAGAAATGAATTACAGACTTGTAGCTGAGATTACTGAAATTAAAAAGAAATATGCTGAGATTGAAGCTGAAAATGCTTTGCTTAGAAATAAAAATGCTGATTTCTTGGTTAAGAAAATGTGGCTTTTGGCCAGAATCATGGAATTAGAACAATCTGCAAAAGAGAATGAAAATAACATGAAGTTAAGAGATGCTGAAATTAATGAGCTTAGATCCAGAATTTCGAAATTAGAACAGATGCAGTTGCAAAACAATACTGTAGATAGATTAGACGTCAGAGTTAATTCTTCTGAGAATATCATTAATAGACTCAATCTTGTTATAAACCAGTGCATTGATACTAACTTCAAATTATTAACAGATGATACTAAGGAAATCAATCATTTTTCGGTTAATATTACCCCTTGTGAGAAACAGAGCACTATTTATATAGACATAATGAACTCTGGTGATACTTCTAAACAGATAGAAAATAGTTTCGACAATATATCCAATTTTGATATATGCTAGGAAAAGGATAGCCAATCTTCTGCATATCCTATTCTCTCTGAAACAAATTCTAGCGATACTTATAAGCAGACGGTCTTGCAAAATGAGGAGACTCCAGCATCTAATATATCTGACAACACTTCAAATTCTGATATGCATCAGAAAGAGATAAAGTCTCAAATCTCTGCATTACTTATCAGCACAGAGACCAAATTGTTAAAAGATAAAGATATAGATGATTTCTTGGAAATGCAGAGAAAAGAAAATATTAGTAACACAATAAAAGAAAGAAAACGGAAAAAGAAATTTCAAGACTCTAGCTCTAATTTATCAGAACAGCCCTCTTTAGAGCAAAATACTGATTTACAAAAAATGCAAACTCCCAAAATAGACATACACCCTTTAATACAAGAATTAAAAATAGATCCTTCGAAAGAAGTTTACATTAAGACTGTTAATATAGATAAAAATTCTACTAGTAATCAATCATCCGCAATCAAATTGGTACATCTATTTGAAAGAATATGTTTTGCAGAATTTAATACTATACGAGCTAAGCAAGCGAAAATTGCTAGTTGGTATTCGTATAAAAAGTTCTTCAAAAAAAGACATAGTGAAATTTTACCTGAGATTCTGAAAAAATATAAAAATATTACAAAACAAAAAGTATATAAGTTAGCGAGTGGTCAAATTTATAATGAAATGTTATATTATCTTTCAGGTATCTCTTGAGTAAATTTGCATAAAAAATACAACTAACTAAATCTATATATAAGTTGTTTAATGAAATTGAAGAAGATAAGATTTTGCGAATTAAGACTTATAGCGCAAATAAACTTTCAAAATTAACTGACACACAAATCGATACAATTATATATGAAGTGAGTTATATTACAAAAAAATATGGTACTAACCTCTCACTATGTGAAAAAATTTTACATTCTCACATGACCGACTCTGAACCTACCCATAATCAAGATTCAGACATATCAGAAATCCAGGTAAGTATACCTACTAAATCATCTCATACCTCTAATTCAGAATATATGATAAGTAAGGATAAGAAATCTTTACTGGAAACTAAAGTAAGTGTATCATCCAATCTAGCTCATAGCTATGCTTATTTCTATAATAAAGTATTGGATCAGTATCCTAATTTATATCGAGAAGGTAGTGATAGAAACGACGATTATTATGAAATTACTGATGAATCTTTATGTCTGCTATGCAAGTTAGATTATGATGATGATAATAGTATAGGAAGCAGATATGAAGTTGGATCTTACTATATTAAATGTGAACAGCGTAGAATTAAAATTAAGGTAACAGCATGAACTTTAAACTTATACTAGCACAATTCGCTTAAGTCTTCTGAGGCATATTTATTTTTTTGTTGGTTATTGTTAATTTAGAAAAATGTGCAGTCATATACATAAAACAGGAACATGGATACACAAGCAAAAGCTAATAAAACATTAACTCCTGAATATTTGAATGGGAAGCTAAATTAACAGAATTGCCAGGTATTTTGACAGATAAAATTCATTCTAGGTTATATAAAAGGTATAAGAATAAAACTGGATTCGATCCCTGGATAAACTCTAAACCTTTAAGTCCTCACAAATTGAAAAGGATACCAAAAAAAAGACATTATTTGTACCGCAGATAAATGTTCAGCCTACACTATCCAAACTTCAACCATCAATTTCTATTCTACCTAAAGACCCGGAAGAGAAACAAAAATATATTATTAAAATAGTATTAGAGCGATTTCCTTATTTAACTTTGAAACATAGTTTTAAATATAGTAATTATTTTGATTTTAATAGATCTGTACTCTGTCCTATATGTAATAAAGACCATAAAAAAGAAAATATAAGAAATAATATAGAGTGTTTATAGGGGAGTAGCAATTATGTCAATACAAAAACTTATCATTTCTATTGTTATATAAATAAATATCAGAATTCAATTCCGATAGTAATAGTAAAAGCATAGATTAATAAGTAGAGCCCATTCATATGATTAGTTAAAAAAAATAGCAAGCCTACTGAACCTCTTTTTTATTTCATAAAAAAATTGCTGAAACGGTATACAAATAAAAAAAATACACTATAGTTGCATACTGCAGACAAAAATATGAACTATTTATTAATTTTGATTTAGCCTTTCTTGTCGTTATCCAGGATTCTTATACTCATTGAAATCATTTTTCTCACACCATTCTGAATTTTCTTCTGAAAAATTGTCCAAAGGTCTGTCTTCATCAATGTTATAGTCATTATCTTCTCTGAGGTCATAGATTGAATCGTCTAATTTAATGCACAGACATGGCCCGATAAAATAAGTTTTAGCCTTAGTTTTACAAATATATAAAGAGCGCTTTTTAATAAAAGTTACCTCCTACCATATCTGTTTCTCCTACTTCTACGTTGATGATTGGAATTAGATGTCCTTTGGCTAGGTCTTGGATTGAGTGGTGTTTGAGAGACATAATAGTTCTCGGAGGAGTTATTGTCATTAGTCGTAGAAGTGGTGGTGTTATTATTACTTGTGGTGGTGGCGTCATTAGTCTTGGGGGTGGTGTTGGTGTCATTAGTCTTGGTGGTGGCGGTTTTTTTATTACTGCTTATTTTTCGTTCTAAATAAAAAATATAATAAGTAAAAATTCACTTTCGTAATCTCTATTAAATAAAATATTATATTACTTTTTTAAAAAAAATATGGTCAGGAAAAAATATACAAGCAAAAAATATTATTATAACCTATCTACAAGAAACAAAAAAATGCTTATTTTTATACCACCTATTCGCAAGATCTAAAAGACTTGCCAGGAAAAAAGTTATATAATTAGTAATTGGTTTAAGGTAACTCAATCTAGATCACACTATATAAAGCAAGTCTATTCGGTCATAACTTCCAAATGCTGAATCTATTTTGTTATTTTTTTCTAGTAAAATTAACCTCCCTTAGATTCAATGATCTCTTCTGCAAAGTAAAAAAGTCAACGATCTTGACGATCTGAGAATTCCAAGTTCCTGTGACATATGAATTTTGACTGGCAAAGCCTGGGGTCTATGACCCATAAAACTACTGATAAAAAATATTATACTTCTTGCTCTTATAGCCTTTTAAAGTCCTATTCTAGGGTGTGGCGACTTAGTGAAGTGGTGAAGTTGTCGCACCCCCAAGCGGTTGAGTACAAGTTTAATTCCTACTGGAGACGAAAATTGAATTTCGAAAAACGGATTCGGTAACTAACGTCGTGGCCGGGAAAACTC